GCGAAGAGAGAGAAAGAGAGGAAGAGAGAGAGATAAGGATAAGTCCGATATGCGTCGACTAATGCCGACACGCTAACGCGTGTCAGCTGGTGTTGACTCGACGACGATTGCGATTTGCGAAGTTCTAGCTTCGCCCGGGCCCGGCCTGTGTCAGCTTTTTAGGGTAGGTGCCTGAGTCGACTAATGCCGACACGCTAACGCGTGTCAGCTGGTGTTGACTCGACGACGATTGCGATTTGCGAAGTTCTAGCTTCGCCCGGGCCCGGCCTGTGTCAGCTTTTTAGGGCTGGCTCATTTTGTTCTGTGACACTCGGCGCTGGTAAGCGAATCGCAAAGTCTCTTTACCAGCACGGCGGCTGTTGTTGGCGGTCCCTGTCTCAGGAATTTACTTTACTAGCCCGGAGGCTAGAGAGAGAGAGAGAGAGAGCGAGAGAAACCTGCGGCTTATGCACACCCAGCCTGAACCCCCACCAGAGAGAGAGAGAGAGAGAAGAGAGAGAGAGAGAGAGAGAGAGAGAAAGGGGGGGGGGGAGACAAACTGAGACAGAGAATAAGCAGTAATAGTAGTTTGTACTGTAGTCCTGTGTTATCTCATCTGCCCCCTCTCCCTTCCTTCATCCTTGCGGCTTATGCTGATATCACTGGTATCACTGCACCCTTCCTTTTCCTACTTGCATAAGTCCTCGGCTGGAGGTTACGCCATGTTGTAAGCACCAGTTATTATTCAAGGTTGAACGGCCTGCTTGCACCACGTTGGGTCCCACTTTCGCTCTTGGCCTTTTTTCACTTTCTTCTTCGTTCCCAATATCGACCCCTTGCTCCTTTCTTTGGATCTGTTTATAAAGGCTAGAGTCAAACACCCAGTTACACACACACGCACATACAAATATGTGTATAAAAAATATGTATATATATATATATATATATATATATATATATATATATATATATATATATATAAATATATATATATATATATATATATATATATATATATATATATATATATATATATACATATACATAAACACACACACACACAGGTAGGCCTATACATGCATGTGTGTGTGCATGTA